GTCTCAAAAGCATGCATGTAACAGCAGATATGGTACAAAGGAAGAAAAGCAGACAGACAATTAAGAGGAGGAAAGAGATGAAAAAAACCTGCTCGTTGAATGATTGCCATTTTGAGAAGAGCCCTGGGGTATATTTACACCAATCTTCAGAAGCTGTGACTGCAGCACGTCTAGTAGCCACCTTAACCCAGCTAGGTCAGGTAAGAAAAATGGATGAATAATTATGTTGCAAGACACCTTAACCCAGCTAGGTCAGGTAAGAAAAGCCACAAAGCTCTAAGAATGAGCTCAAACTGCCATGTCTCATGAAACAGATGAATAATTATGTTGCAAGGTTTTATAAGATGTATCCCATGAGAACTGGATGTTTAAATTCCTGTTACTCATCTTACGTGAGGTTCAGGACCTAGATTTTGAAAACTGGGTGGTGACATGGGTTTTCTCATTGTTGAGTGGACTAGCTCTTACTCAAATAGCTATTTTCCAGGACCTAGATTTTGAAAACTGGGTGGTGACATGGGTTTTTTCATTGTTGAATGGACTAGCTATTTTTTTTCTCACAGGAATAGCACCAAATGAAGCCAAACACATGGCTTCATATCTGGTGGTGGGTTGCAAAGACAGAAGATCTGATTTGCGGTTTCTGTTGAACACAACACAGAGCAGATGAGAGTCTCCTCTGAAAGTAAATCAGTCAGAAGGAATTAATTCTACAAAGAGACACAGAGGAAAAACTACTAGAAAACTGACACTGAGCTCTTAATGTATATTTCCTGCCATTTATGAAGAATTACATCAAAAGAGAAATGCAAATGTTGGAAGTTAAGCATAATAAAAGGAGTGATTTTATCTACCGCTACTATGGTAAATTTTACTGTATTTGTGGCATATGTTACAGTATCAGCATTGATGACTTGATCAGGATCTAAGTTACTGTACTGAATTATTGTGCTCTAGATTTATTGAGGTTTTGGCAAAGGTTTTCTTCTTCAAGCATCTCCTGAGAAATAACTAACTAGAAAAAATTAAATGTTGTGGCCCGATGATAATTATAAAGTAGGCACTGGGGACAAAATTAAAAGGTGATGATTACTCTTCCGACGTGTAGATTCTGTTAAGGCTTAAGCTTGGAGTTGTTTGGGTTTTTTGACAGTGTAGTTATCAAAACACTAGGCTGTTTTGTTTTATGTTTGCATCTCTAAATAAAAGGATTGGCAATAAATGTAGGATTGCAACAGCTTGAGTCTAGATCATGGCAGAACCGGTCTCCCTGTCTTACAATAAGATAGAACACAGTTACAGTAGGTATTTAAATGCTGTGGCACAAATGTTGTTACTTACATGTTTTAGCTGAGTGACACGACCCTACAATAAAAATTGAGGCTGAAAAGCTATTGACTACAGGGAAAAAGTGGATAGGCCAAGTTTTACCTTCCTGAAACATTTGTTTTAAGAAGTTCCAGTTATGAAATATACAAGCCACCTGCATTACAGGAAGCAACTAGGTTAAAACCCCATTGGATTTAGGATCTTCACTACTGATAATTGACTTTGCTCTGATCTAACAGGAGCATTTCAGCATGGCTGGGCAGAGCACATCCACATCTCCATTAACTTTTTGATTTAGCCTCCCATGTATACCATCATCTGAAACACATCATCCTATGTGTACACATCTCACTGCTCAGAGTAACAAAGTGAGTGACATTAATGGCTTTCTTTAAAGACCTTTTATCCCATAAATAATAAACACATAATGACTGTCTATTGAATTTTAACATCTCCACCTTAACTTTTTGACAAACTGATACAAAACAAGCTTTACTCACTAATGAAATATAGTTACTTCTATAATTAATTAATTAGAGCTGCATAGTGCAAGACAAAATAGCAAAAATCCTAATCTGCAGATCATAATAATGCAAGCCATCTCATTAAAATAACAGTGGCAAGAGTAGGAATGGGATTACTATATTAAAATGCAGGATTGCAAGACCGGGCTCCAATTTATAGCCTGATCAAGGCCCACTGAAATTAAATGGGAACTTTAATCCATTAGGCATCAAAAATAAAGAAATTGTAATCTCCTCCAGCTGAGAATGCAGGAAGAGAGACTGCGTTGTTTGGCAGTGCATGTACATCAGCTTTTTCACCCTAACTTCTATTTTTGACATACTGGTCTTCCCAATTTGTCTTTAAAGGTTATTATATTGTTCACATATAAATAAAAATAAATAAATACTAAATATATTTAAAATACAGATGTTGATTTTATAGTTTTTTAAGTAAAAATCTATGTTAGCATTTTCTTTAGCTTTCAAGTACCATGTCATATATATAATACATATAAAACAGCAACCTTAAGTGGTAGTGCAACTAGTGTTGAGCAACCCATTTACTTCTATAGCTACAAATCATTTGGTTATATACATTATTTTGTTAACCAGGAAAAGAAGCAATTTCAGTTTTGTTATCAGATGTTTTTTTTTAAGATCAGTATGCCATCCGAGGTTTGCATTCAGTTTGCAGGGTTTGTAGTGAACAATTCATCAAGGAAATGGATTTTCCATTTTCAGAAATATGTCTGTTATAGTTCAGAAATGCTGCTATAAGTAATTAATTTTTAAAGAAAGCTTTTGTATCACTGAACAATACGTGTCTAGTAATGCTGCACCGTGAAGAAAGCATCTGCCTGCTGTGTCTTTGCTATAGGACTTTTGGATCCAAGTCTTCTCCGTGGCTCAGGTCACCTTCCCTGTGACGGGGAAAGTATTGACAAGAAGTGACATGGTTAAGGTAAATCAATGAGGAGACCAGCTCCTTGCCACAGACTGAGCTCTGAAAGGAGGGGTCAAATTCAGTTCTCACTTGCACACATGAACCCCCACTAGCTGAAATGAACCCATGAAACTGCAGGCTGAATATATACCTATCTACGTAACTATCATTATATGCATATGAAGATGAAAGAGCTCCTAGATACGGGTATTTCTAATACATGTTACTAGAACTAGGAGATGTGGTTTAGGTAAAAAATCCCAGATTTTGCCTTTGTGCAGTGTAGTGACATGTCTACAACACCCTCCCCAGTAAGCGCATCACTGCATGAAGACTTATTTTTGCAGGTCTCTTTTTAAAACCTACTGGATGCATCACTGTTTCTTCTTTGCATGTCCTTGTAATTCTAGCTTGCCTTTTTTTTTTTTTCCCTCCTGTGTAACCACCAAATTAAAAGTTTGATAATGCCCCTTTCTCTGTCTTTTGAATAATTTGATTTTGCTTCTTATTACAGCTAAATATCTACCACATCAGATTCAATCACTTCCCCCATATTTTTTTTTTCACTGACCCCTTTTTTTTTTTTACTACACGTTTCCCTCCCAAAGCCCCAGTGTATTTTCTTTTTCACCTGTCTCCCAGCTACATTAAGGCTAGCATTAGTGGTACCACTGGCTTGTGTTGTAAATAGCCTCCCTTGACAAATAAGTGAAACTGCAGGTGCCTTCTCCCACTGCCACCAGGATGTGGCCCTGGAGAATGTTACTCTCTAGACAAAGACACTGAAGAGAGGAAACTCGGCTTGGTTGGGTTGCAGCAAGTCAGTCAGGAAACACACAGTTCCTGAGAAACCTTCATACAGGCTATATACACTTTCTAATGCCCGGGAACCAGCCTTAAATTCTTCTGTAAATAAGAACTCGGCAAACCTAAGAGAAAAAAAAAAGAAAAGAGAGAGGTTGTTATTATTTGATGTCCCTCTATTGTCTACTTACTTGTTGTTTGAAAGCATCATTTTAATAACATTCAGCTCTTTAAAAAAGTAGAATGTTTATTATTTAACCTTATATGCAAATTTTACACTCACTGCTTTCCACATGAAACTGAGGTCCATTAGATCTAGAAGAGACAAACCTTTGCAATCTGCACCTGTATTATGCTTCTTTAAGAGCTATAAACTTTTTCTGATTTCTGGATGACATGTCATTGAAGAAATGCTTATTAATAACTTTTATCTTGGTTGTTATTTCAGCAGGCTGCAAGCAATGTTTCACATTGATGCAATAAATTCTTTAATGTCAGGATGAGACTTGGATGTGCCCTGTTCCTCCTCCTAAAGAGCTATAAACTTTTTCTGATTTCTGGATGACATATCATTGAAGAAATGCTTATTAATAACTTTTATCTTGGTTGTTATTTCAGCAGGCTGCAAGCAATGTTTCACATTGATGCAACAAATTCTTTAATGTCAGGATGAGACCTGGATGTGCCCCGTTCCTCCTCCTGGTGCTGGAGTGGGTCCAGAGAAGGGCAACGAAGCTGAGGGGTCTAGAGCACAAGTGTTATGAGGAGAGGTTGAGGGAGCTGGGGTTGTTCAGCCTGGAGAAGAGGAGGCTGAGGGGAGACCTTATCACTCTCTACAACTACCTGAAGGGGGGTGTAGAGAAGCGGGGGTCAGTCTCTTCTCCCAAGTCACAGACGATAGGACAAGAGGAAATGGCCTCAAGTTGTGCATGGGGAGGTTCAGATTGGATATTAGGAAAAATTTTTACACTGAAAGGACTATTAAGCATTGGAAAGGGCTGCCCATAGAAGTGGTTGAGGTACCAGCCCTGGAGGTACTTAAAAGACGGGTTGACGTAGTGCTTAGTGACATGGTTTAGTGATTGTTTTTTTATCAGAGTTAAGTTGATGGTTGCACTAGATGATCTTAAAGGTCCCTTCCAACCTAGATGATTCTATGACTCTATCCACCCCAGTTCCCTGTGGAGGAGGGCAGGTTCGTGGGCAGGGAGGGAGGGAGAATGGGAGAACCCAATGCTTCTCCCACCGCAGGCATTCTGGAAGCAGGACCTCAGGGCTCCCTGCAGAGTGTGCCTGCCCCACAACTCACAGGTAGAGCTGCACCTGAGGCTCAAACACTCAGATCACATCCAAGGGTGGTCATCACAGACTGAAACTCTCCAGTATTACCCTGAATCCAGAAAGGCAGAAACGCTAACCTTTGTGCCCTGTATATGTATTTTGAGTTTCCAGTCAGCCTATACAGCAGCAGGAACACATAAGCACTACCAGCCACTCCATGGCATATTCCAGGTCCCTTCTTCAACAGGCCTTTCTGCCAAGTTAGCTCCCCGCAACGGATACAAGTGTCCAGATACTGAGGCTTCTTGGAAACCAGGTAAGCTTTGGCGAAGAGGTATGCAATGCCTAGGAAAAGAGCAGTGAGATTGTCTTTTATAATAAGTAGGCCACAGGTTTCATAGAACACATAAGAAAATGAAGATTAATACACTAAAAACCTGCAGTCTCATGCTCTACATGTGTCAATGTTACATATCTATATCCTACATAGGGATGAGAGAGTATCTGGTATGCTAAAATGCATACGGTGAGATGCATTTATCCACTCCCTGTGACACCACCACTTTCAGTCTTTTCAATACATTACTGAATTCCAGGGTTTACTCTAACTTCTCTAAAATTTCCAGTCCTTCAGCAATTTAAAATTTAAAATTTAATCGCATTTTCTGCCTTTAAAACCTTAAGCTCTCAGCATTGTCTTCTACCAGTTTCAAATCACCATTCACCTCACCTATATACACCAACAGAAACACAAGGATGGGCAAGGCAATTTCTTACATTGGCAACAGATACAATTCCTTACTGAATAAGAAACTTGTTTGTTTTTTCAGTGGGGATTCAAATAAATTAATCATATCTTCCGCAGAGCACTGCACAGCTCCGTTCACGGTAACCTTAAAAGAAGGGATATGACACATAACCAAATCAAGCCCCTAAGGAAATATTTAGAATAGCTGACTCATGGTCTGAATATAATATACACTGAAGTATCTGAAAAGTGTTCTTGTAAGCCCCGTGTGCGCTATTACCCAAGAACAGTGATGAGATAAAGGATTTTCTTGGGAAGAACAACAGCAATTAATGAATTTGCATGTCTTTAAACATCTCCTGAACTAACTTCTATATGCCCTTCGCGATTTTGTCACTTTGGTTGAGTCTCACTGCATGTGACTCCACTAACAGTTAAACCCAAATCAAGAGCCACTCTCAAGGTACCAAAACAAAAAGGGCATTTTCCCTGCAGGTTTCATCACTAGGCCAGCCATGCTGTAGAAGTAATTTTTTCCTCTTAAAAATAAAAAAGGGAAGCAAAAGCTATTTGCACTTTATTAGAGTGTGAGAGCAAGCAGCTTCTTCCTTAATCATACCAACAAAGATAATGCATCAGCAGAAAGCACATTTAAGAGGTGTTAATTATAATGCATTTTTTATAATTTAAATAGAACACCTTTAAAAGCAATGCATCAATGCTCATGGACATTCATTAATGAAAGTAAGTTTTTCAGTAACCTTCCAGGTTCATGTTACCAAGCCAATATGACTTGTTAGCAATAAAATTGTGCCTGAGGGTAGAAAAGCAATTTCAATATATGGCATTAGTTGCCAGAATTGCTGGCAAGAACTGCAAAGTAAAGGATTAGATTCTGAAATGATACACATCAGTCTTACCTCACGAACACAAACTAAGGACTGATTCTCTTTTTCTCTGAAAAGCAGTTTAATATTACTGACTTATAGAAATAATGCCTCTTGCTAGTACAAACGCCCCTTCCCATGAAAATACTTTGGTAGAATTTTTGCACAACCCATGTAATAAGTGCAGCTTAAACTTTGATTCGGATGAGAGGGGGGAAAGCTATTCTGAAGGCCCTCCCCAAGCTCACAGATATGTCTGTGTTCTTTTGCATACTATTTGTCTGTCCAGCCATATGCTGCTGGCTTTTGACTGAGGTGTATCATTTTTTGAGGTCTTGTCACAAAAAGGAGCAAGAGCAGAAAACACACAGTTCAGGATCACCAGAATTCTTTCAGCTGTGATCACCTACCCTTTTAAGGCAGAAAATATGCCTACCCTTCCAGCTGCTCCAGCAATAACTAAAACACTCTTAACTGGAAGAAAAAGCCTAAATAGCTTGCCTGCATCTCATAAAATGTCAAAATCAGTCAAATTTAACCTGGGATTATCTTCTACATGGAATCACCTAACGTGAAAAAGGAAAACGACAAAATGATCAGCATCTGGCTGATCCCACCAATAGGAAAAGAACCTGGAGCTCCATGACACCAGTGGACAAGTTCATTCTCCCTCTCGATTGTCTCTCCCAGTTCAGGAGGCCAGTTGCTGTTCTGTTCTTGGTCCATAAGAAAATCAACGCTCTGCCACACAAGCTCCTGATCTGCTGGCTGCAGGTATTCGTAGTAGGAAAGCAACATCTGAAGGATCGATGAAAGCCCATGTGCTGCACCTGTAAAGAACAGAAACAGTCGAATTAGAGGGTAGCTTTAGGTCCTACCTCCACCTTACTGCATCTTTCCCTTGGGACTGCTTTCCTTGTCAAGTGCATGGCTCTTCCATCTTCTTTACGCGTATTACAACAGCGCTTGGAAAAAAAGCTTTCTAGGTGCATGACACTATGATTTTTTACTACTTCTGTCATTTCCATTTCCCCAAGCTATGCAAAAAACACATATGAATTTTTTCTGCTGTCACTCTGATATGACTGAAACTCAGTGCATGAAGTTAAACTGAACCTACACTGAATACTGTTGCAAGATGTTATTCTTCTTGACACACTACTGAATCTGGACCATTATTCTGATGTCTTTCTTGAACCCAAATTGAAACTGGACCATAAATGGTATTCCCAGTTACTGATTGACAGTACCAGTCAACTAAAACCTAAATTTCAGTGCAAGAGTTGTCTGTACCTGCCAGAGTCTGTGGGGCAGCACCTCTCAGTGACTTCTCCCTCTGCTCCCTTGCCAGCGAACTCACCAACATCTGCAAATTAATCTCACACTTTTTGCAGTGTGATATTGTCCCTTGAGGACCCCACGAGGGAGACCTGCTCGATGACCCTTCCCCACTGCTTCAGATGAGCTCCAACCAAGCTGCTCGCGATGGGTAGGAGCTTACCGTATGCTTGAGTTGCACTGCTACTGCCAAAAACTCTTTGGCAGGTCCCTGCGTGGTGGCACCAGCAGCTTACAAATAACATCCCCTGACAGTTCTCTCTGGGAACCTTCTCCACACAGGGATGGGCACCACACCTCTCGCTGCTTTCAACTGGCCAGGGCAGATTTACCAAGGCCGAAAGGAGAAGAGGGAATGAAGCTGCTGCTTGCTGCTCCCCTCGTGCAGCACAGGCACCTCGTGTGTTCCACAGCCCCAGGCAGTGTCAGTCCTTCCCTCCAGCTCCTCAGTCCTACTTTGCAGTTTTAGAAGGTTGGATGGTCCCAACTCAGGAGAAATCCCACACTGCAAGTTTTACATATTTTATTTCTGAAGCGTCTACTGGCTCAGCATCTACACACAGCATCACTTTCAAAGTGTGTTCTTGGTGTGTCCTACTCACCAAGATACTCTGTTCCATAGTAGGAATACATGAGTGGGCATGGTTTCCTCTTCTTCGTTGCATACTGCTTTCCTGATTCTAGTATGGCCAGGCAAATTGATTTTATTTGTGCTGGGGTCAGCACCTAAAGACAAATATTAAAAGAAACATCAATCTATTACAATTATTTTATTTTTTTAGACATTTTTCAAGACTGCTTTTTTGCTGGTGCACAAGACAAAATACTGCCTTTAATCTTATGAGCGTGCTGTACTGTACATCATTATTAAGAGTTCCTTACATAAAACAGTAAATTTACATAATCCTTCTCAAAAACAGAGTTTCATCCTGTCTCAGGAAAGTGAATGTCAAATCTTTAGCTGCACAGATGAGGTGAAAAGAGACCCACTAAGAGCTCCTGCCTTTCCTTCCCACAGATCCATCAGTCTGATGGAAGCTGACAAGAAGCACCAGGCAAACAGCGGAACAACAGCCTCCAGACTGGGGGAAGAGACATCAGGAGAAGAAAAAGGAAAACAGACCTAGAGAAGAAGTAAATGTTATAGGCTTCATGGGGACACACTGAGCTAGACCGATTTTTCTCACACAATATAAAAGATGAAGCAAGGAAGAGGGTACTAAACTTTATTGAAACTCAATACTATATATGTGGGTGCAGAAATAGCTTAGTAAAAGAATTGGGCCTTCTTACTTCAAGAAAATGGTAAAAAAAATAAAGTGCAAGAGAGGTTTCTGTGAAGAGAGGCTAGCTATATTTATGGGAGTTTATCATCATGAACACTGCCTTTAATGCAGTCCTAAGAAATGACTAATGCCTTACTCCTCGTGGTGCCAAAACTAAGTAAGATTGACAAATCATCTATTTAATCAGACATGAACTTTTCCAAGTTACTGACCTAAACCATTCAGTGGGGAATCAGTTTTACAGCTTTTAACTACAGCTCTAATGCCATGCAATTCACTGCAATCATCCACAATTTCCTGTGTCAGCCATAGCAGTACATTACTGACCAATACCTAGGTCATTAAAATAATTTAGTTTAAGTAGCGTTTTGGCTTTCAGAGGAAGCCTGTATGGCAGCTGTACTTTGCAAAAATATGAACTTATGAAAAGAGAACTGAAAAAGAAAAAAGGCAAAATGGGGCAGAAAGAAGAAAAAGGCTATGTAGACATAGCCCTGACAAGATAAATAGTAATCCTAAAACTAACTGGAATATGAAGATAATGTCTTTAAAATGTTTCTGAAGACATTCAGGTTTGCTGTAATTTGTATTATCATAGGATTTACAATTACTTCTTCAAGTTTAAAAAATACTCTTAGCATTAAGAATGGAGGCAACATCTGTTATAAGCTATATTGTCTGATTTGATATTTGAAAGGTGCTATGGATAATTAATGCTACTTAGAACTTGACTGAAAACTAATGGCCGAAAAATGTTGTTTGGCTGTCTTACCTTGCTCCTGATAACAAGGCATTTTATTATAGCTCCTCCAAATGACTGAGATATTTATACAACCGGGAGAACAACCTACTTATGTTCTTGATTAATGTTCTTTCATGTTACTGCAGTAAAAGTAAATATCCCATTAACATCTGAAGACTTCATTCATTTCCAGTCATTTTTAAATAAATTGTTTTAGCTTCCCAGAATTCAAAGAGACAGTTTAAATCCTAAGAAAGTGAGGATATCAGAGACACATTGAGATACGCTGCATTTTGTCCAGAGCTCTCATTTTACCATCTTGCAGTTTGAGACCTAGTCCTTCAAATCCTATACTTTGTAAAAGGATTAGTAAGATTACCCTTTAAACAGAAATGTGAATGATAAGATCTCCTAGTTGTAATTCTGGAAGGCAAAGGCACACTGATTAGAAAAATCTTATCAGTTAATTTTCTGTATGTAATGGTTCCTTTACTTAGTAAATCAACTGGCTTTCAATACAAACCATGTTTTGCTAGGCTTATGTTTATGTTCAGCACATATAATTTTTAAATTGAATTAATGACTATTTAAAAATGCTGATCATGTATTTTAAATGGATTTAAACTCCTACCCAAATCCAGCCTTGCACAAAGCTACATAAAGAAGTATCAGCTAGCAAGAAATGCATAGTTCACCGTTTTTCATAATGAAATGTAAAACATCGACCATTTAAGCATTATGATTAGTCATTAATTGTATACATAGTATATACCCTTTTGGCTGGCATAATGAAATATGCTAATGAATATCGCCTCTTTTTCAGAATGCAAAAAAAGCCCTTGTCCAAAGCCAGATAAAAAATGATTATTTAAAATCATTATTAGACTGGATGATAGAAATAAACTTATCCCAACCCACTTCCACCTTACCAAAGAAAATGGGCAAGAAAATAACCCATATGACTTGAAAGCAACCTTCTCTCTGGCCACTTGGACTGACCTGTACGCTTAAGGCAGGTAGGAGATGTGTCCTAACTAATAGCTAAATAAGAAAATCTTTGTGGTCACTCCAAATATATCTTACCAAGTGTCTCAATCCACAGTCATTGTAGGACTGCTACCTGTTTTCCAAAACACTTAAATATGAAGGATTTGTATTTGGTCCTTATTCTAGAAGATGGTTGGCTGGAACAGAGACCCTCATTGCCATCCTTATCAGTGGCCTTCCAAAGGTAAAAAGGGTCAGAGATCACCTTTAAGATCTCCAATGGCTTGCTATGTTTTATTTCAACCGAATCTGTGTTAAAATCTCCTCAGATTTCTTTCACCTTGCCAACAAATAAAATCTGTGGCTAGTTTCTGTATGCTCCCTCACAATATCTTTAATAAAACAGCTAAAAACTTAAAACGGAAACAACGATCATAGAATACATTAATCATAACCACAGACAGTGTAGCCGTGGTTCTACAAAGTTCATTTTCATTTCAGTGTAGTCGCAATGGCTCCTTGCCCCTGGGAATTTCTGAAGCAGTATGTTTAATTAGGGACAGCAAAGCAATAGACTGATCATCCCAAAGGCTTTGAAAGGATATATTGCATATTGATATCACGTCCTTTGGTGAAAGCTGTTTGATGCTTTGATGAAGAATAAAGCCAATATGAGAATATGCTACCCAGAAAAAAAACATTCATGCTTGAGATAGCTGCATTTTTTGAGAAACTTCTGGAATGTCATTTAATATGAGCTGGCTACACTGTAGGTAAAATTATTCTTTATCATGTCAGTACTTACTCAAAGGACTACTGGCAGCAAGAGATATATTGCTGGTAGCTTAATATTTCAGCTAACTTTTTGTATTTTTAAAGACACCCCAACCTATCCTCTCACAGTAGAAGTGTTCATTTTAGTCTCCTCACGATACTGGAATTTGGAATACATGCATTTCACATTTCCCCTGCAATTTCCGTATCAATTGGTTGGTGGAATTCTTTATTTTCTGTTTTAAATCATTGTCCAGTGGTGCTGCGTGCTGTTAAATAATTGTTCTGCTCACACTGGTGACAGCTGCATTCCCATATGTCTTTTACTTTAAGCACAATGCTTAAGCAGCACTATAATACTTAGTATTTGTACTACTGCCTGTTCCTCAGAGCCCTACTTATAGTAAAAGACCACTGTGATTGTTTCTAAAGTCTCATTTTTTTCTCTTGTGCAGACAATGTGCCTTCTTCCATTAAAGCACTCCACAAATTTGTGAATTATTTAAGGCAGGTACTTTATTCAGTAAATCCCTGTTAAAAGTCAGCAAGGAAGTGCTATGTCCACAGCAATTGCAGAACACCGTCTTTTTTGTTGTTAGCAGTCTTTCTCAACCTGAGATGTTTAGTTGGAAGCAAATCATTTCACAACTCCTTTTAATCTCCTAAAACAGATTTTGTAATATATTAGTTATGACAATGCTAGACCCTAGATATGTGTTTCAAAAACTGTAGATGGAAATCCTGACCTTGAGGATTAGGCAGAAAGAAGCAAAACTACTTCTTCTTTGCTTCTAATCACAATAACATTTTCAGCACTTCATCATTCTTCTAAATGTTTCCTACAAGCCCCTTGGATCATGCTTTGCCTTTTGAAAACCGCTGCTACATAAAGCTGCATACCGTATTGAGGATATTTGAGGACTGTAAGCTTTCCATTCTTTTAAAAGATCTGTATTTATTTTCTTAGAGCTCTTTCCTGTATGTAAGTAACAGAAGGCATTACTGAATGCCAAGTACCATCTTTTTATAGATGCATCGGTACTTTTAGGAGATAACAGCTACACTTACATTATTATGGAAAAAGCCTTCTTCTATGCATGTAAAAAATTTTAATATGCATCTAACAACATCAAATCACTCTCTGTAACAATTTTAAAAAGCCATTTACATGAATTTGATCATATACTTTTTCTGATGCTGTAGAAAGTGTCAAAATAAGCTGAAAAAAAAATGGGTCACTCCACAAATAACCTAACAGGAGCTTTGCCATTAGTCTCCTATGCTGAAAGCCCAGCAGAGGGAGCTTGTGAATTAGTTATAATATTCAAAAATGCTGTAAAAAAAAAAGTGCATCTCCGTCTTCAGCAGCACAGCTGACTCAAGCAGAAAGATGCTAGAGCCAAGGTGGTAATTTAATGATACCTTACTGCACTGCGTGATGTTTAAGTTCACTACTTAAGCGTGACATTTTTCTACCAAAAACGGGGGCTAGGATTGTTCAGGAACCTTTCCATGCACTCTCATGGACACTTTCTTTTTCTTTCAGATGATGCTAACACCTGAAGCCACAGAAGAGTTGCAGGTACAAAGACAAAGGGGTCTGCCTCCCCCTGGTGTTATTCCAGTTTGACTGATGTACCTCTCCTGCAGCACAGTGGGAAACCCAGCTCCAAGTGCACAGCTGTCTGCCTTCCTTACGAACAGCGTCAAGTACACCCTTCTTTAAAAAAAAAATAAAAAATCATTACATCTCCTGAAAACCTCGTTCAAGGATTCAGATTAGCTCCTGAAGTACTACTGATGCTGTTGCTAATGCAGTGTTTCATGGGGTAACGGCACAAGGAACAGCAGCTTTCTAGAGAACATACTTTACCAAATTTCTCATATTAATGACAGTGTGTGTAGAGTCAGCACAACTACTAATATGATTGTGTCAG